TTACTGATTCAGGCATTTCAAAATACTGAAATCAATGATCTTGTTTTTCAAGGCCACTGTGGTCTCCCTAGAGATTTTCCTAGGTTGAACAAGTCCAACTTTCTCAGCCTTTCTTCACAGGAGTGGTGCCCCAGCCCTCTGGTCATCTTTGTGGCCCTCCTCTGGACTTGCTTAACAGCTCCATGAGGAGGCTACGTAAGTCATGTAGCTGAGAAAGAGGCTGTGTGAGGTTTCCTAGCTCTAGCAATTTAACTTCTAGGGAGCTGTATCTCAAATACAACTTGATGTGTTTCTGAGCAAAGTGAATGAATGCCACCTCAAACATGAAAAATTCTACTGAGCTGTTTGGTTACCTGAGTAAACAGAAGTGTGGAGGTAAGGATGAAAGTGAGGAAAAATATAAGGAAAACTGTAAGATTACTGAAATAATTGGCTCTCGGCATCCTTCAATATTTATCCTTTTATCGGTGTGGGCATGATGTTAAGTATACCTACATAGCCAGGACTGATTACTGAGAACAGTTTCATGGAAATTATTGTGATGAAAGCTGAAGTGAAAAATCAGTTTGATGCATTCATTTCAGGTAGACCAGTTTAGTTTTCTGCCCTCAATCCCATAGGCAAAATGGTCAAATTTAATGGGAAGATTTTTCTTCTGAGACTTTGTGTAAGTTTATAATAACATAGATGTCATTCAAATAAGCCATTTTACAACATACACGGAAGAGAATTACCTGAATGAAATCACTAGTCTTATCTTCATTTACCATACAAATAAATCTTTACTACAAAATGTTCATTATTTATTTTAAAAGTTAATCTAGATTAAAATACAACTAGGGTAACAACTGCTCATGATGGAAACAAATTAAAAATATCAGATAATACCTTACTATTGAAAATTATTTTTAAACCCCTGGTAGCTTTGCTCTTTTTTCATATTTTCTGGGTTTGTTTTTTTTTTTAATTCCTTAATTAGAATGTGATGTGATACTAACACTCTACACTGTAATCAGTCGCACTATGATTTGATAATAAAAAAAGACAGCACAAACTAATGATGACTGATATCAACTGTATTTTCTATGTTGAGTTAGATCTTGGAGCAAATCTTTCCTTGACTGAAACTGGCTGAACTACCTATCTCTGTTTTAATCTACCAACCTTTTTTCAATATTGATTATATTTTTAAAATTTTTTTTGAAGATTGCACTTTTAAGAAATACTAATGCATGTTGAATTACAATTTCTCATTGCTTTGGAGAATCAACAATCTTGCTTTTAAAACATTAATTCCACAGGGTAGTTAAGCTATTAACCAAATTAACTGTAGACAGTAGATGTACAGAAATCAGAGTATTTATTTTGCCTAGGAATGCTTAAAACACTGGTATGTTATTATTTTGGTGAGAGCAAAAAGTATATGATCTTGAAAGGATGACTTCATGGTGGCTGAAAAATGAAATATTGAGATGTACGTTAGAACCTCTGTACTAGAATAAATGATAAAGCAAGGTTACTTTGAAGCTGCGATCAAACTTAATGTCAGCATGTCTCCAAATATAATACAGAATTTTTCATAATGAACTAGTGTTGAAAGAACACTTCTAAAAACCTTTGATGCTGATGCAACGTTGTTGCAGTTAATAGTAAAAAATCCTTCTAGTTCCTGATGCTTCTCTATTTTTAACATAATTCTCATTGTTGAAACACGAGTTGACATGCGTAGCTTATCTAATGTTTCAAGATTTATGTCAGTTTCTGTTGTATATAAAAACTGTTATATTTTCTGCTTAATACATTAATCATATCTATGTAGACTGGTTTATTCTATGTCGTAGACACCATTTATAAATTTAAATATAGTTTATGGCTGTGGACTTAACTCTCACCTAGTGACATAACAATTTTTTTGTTTTAGGCCAAAACACCTGATAATTATATCAAAGACTAACAATGCTCACAGGAAGCAATGTAGCCTCCAAGTAGTCTTCCTGCAGCCAGAGTATTTGGCACCACATCTAAAATGCAGGATATAAAGAACCCCAATGATGGACTTGAAATGAATGCTGTATGCATATATGACTGTTCTCTCGGTAAATCCAGTATCTCAGCAGAGATGTCTTAACTGCATCTTTATTGCAATTCACTGGCTTTTACTGAGCATTATGGCAGCCCATCACAGCACAGTCAGCTATACTCTGCTACAGATAATGCCAAACAGAACTTCAAATAAAAGGGACTTCTGTGTTATGCCTTCTAAAACATAGTGATCTTCTGTTACAGTTAGTGTCATGTCAGAGCAAGGGGCTAAAAATGAGCCAAATTTAACTTGCTGAAGAAAAGCAAGTAGGCCAGTGCTGCATGTAGGCAGCTGCTGCAGCCTCGCTTCCCCTGCTGCCCCTGCCGCTGCTGCCACAACTTGCCTCAGCCCCCAGGTCCGGGAGGACATGCATAACATCACCATTCAAACCTTTCATCTCTAACATGTTCTCCCCCCAGTGTGTCACTTTCTCCTTACACACACACCTCGTTGACCCCTATACAGGAAAGGCTTCAGGTTCTCACTCTACTCCAAACTGTAATAGTCTTCTTTTTTCTTTCTCTTTACTGACCGGGTACATATATATATCCAGTTTTACACACACACACTTTGAAAAGTTTTACAGTAAAATGGTATTTTAAACACAATCTGTGTCTGTGCTTCCGAGAAGAGTTTATCAATCGGTTCTATATCTGGTGGAAGCAAGCCGGGACGGACCCACTGAAATAATTAAGAAGGCTATCCTGAATATATAATTGGGTGTCACAAAATCCTAATAAACAGGGTGATTGTGTCCTGAGATAAGGCAGCTTTGACCCAAAACCGGGTTTGGACTGCGATACCATCTATGAGAATATCCAAATCCAGTGACCTTCCCCATCTCTATATGCTTAAGGTTACAATAGCAACGATGCAATCCCACAAATTTTAGTACAACCTATTTTCAAAAGGTATGCTGAGGTACATGGGGGGTGACATTTTTAAGAAGAAACAGCATTCTGGTATATTTAGGTGTTTTGAGTATTTTTTTCCCCTTACCCTTTAGAAGTTGTAATCTGACATGTGCAGTTCTTTTGCTTGTTTTTGCTTGTTGGCTGTAGTTTTATGGCACTGGAGAGCTGACTAGGTTAAAAATCATACTTACTGGGACTAAAAAAATGCTGAAGGAAAAATCTTGCTTTCAGGAATAGCATAGGAATTATATGCATGTAGAGGAGTTGCATTTGTTGTAGTCCAAGAAACATCTATGTCAGCAAACAACTGGTAACAATAGGTGGTGGTTTTAGTAGGTGGTTTTCTTAATTTGTTAGTTGAAACAGCTATGTGTGAATAATTGGCCTCCTTCATTGAACTACTTCCTACACATCAGAAAAATATTTTTTACTTAATTCTATTGCTGGAGTGGATATTTTTCCCCTCTCAAAATGCTAGATTATATATTTAGTCTTTTCTGTCACTGGGTAATAAGTACTTGTTCCTTCTCCAAAACTTCACATTCTTGCAAAGCAACTGCCCTTTTTCCAATGTGCATACATGTTAAATCAGCAAGTTCCTTATTAAAATGTTTCAAAAAGTATTCTTTTTGCAGATATGTGATTGAATTAATTGTCACCACATTTTATGAAGAAATGTCTGAATTAGAAGTTTAAATCATCTTTTTTTATGAAAGCATAGAAAACCTTGATTGTTTATTCATGACTACAGAACCGTTAATATTTTGCAAGTACAGCTCTAACAGCTATGAGTTTTTATTATTTCTTTGAAACACTTCAGCCTGGTAGCTTTACAATAAATTGGTAAATATTGATTTCTAAATGACATTTATAAAGTGGAAGTGCAAACTAAGCTGCAAATATATGTAAATCAACATTATAACCTACAGCAGTATTTGAACTGCATAGTTGTTATTTCTGAAAAGCAGCAAGGGTGTCTGTGTGGTTTTTATACCTACAAGTGCCAGGTCTAAGCTTTTTTCCTTTTTGTTTTATTTCCAAAGCTGGCATGTTTCTGCTTTTAGGTATACCTTTATAAGGGTGTGACTCTCTGTTGGAGAGTGAGAAATTTATTCAGTTACTTTGTCCCCAAAGCTGAAAATGCCATGCCTTGTTAACAACAGAGGAATGTGTCCCTTTACCCACTTTTTCAATAAAACATGAAATATGAGATCCCATCAGTTTCAGTAACATTAACATAATTAATGAAATTTTCTCAACTATTAGGAGAAACTGAATTGCAAAGCCATTTTTTTTTAAAGAATGAGGTTTTGCTCAAATATGTAAACAAATCAACTGAAAATAGAAAGATTAAGCATTGAATGTGCAGCTAAGATGGTGAAGATGCAGTGCTTTCTTTTAAAAAATGAAAGGTTATTTGTGTTTTGTAGCTTTTGATAATGTGGTGTTCTACTTCTGTATTTAGTAGCAGCAATCATTTTGGATATCTAGATAAGAAGCTGGAGTTGTACTTGAGGATTTTATTTTGCATACTGTGAGCACATGTCAGCTGGGATGATACTGAATTGTTTTCTGGAGTTTGTGTCTTGGTACAGTAAGGTGCTTTTAGGAATTTTGTCTGCTATGGTCCAAAAAAAGGATAATTTCAGATTTTATTTTCCTTCATATTATATTTCAGAATTCTTCTGGTAAGAGGCTTTGGGTTTTAGAAATAATGTTGTAGATGATATGTTCTCTATAATTTTGCAGAAAGAAGTTTCCAGTGAAGGAAAATAATTTAATTCCAGCTCATGTATTTAAATGTTGTTGTTCATATTTATTATACGGTGTAAGCAATATAAATATTTTAAATGAGCTAGTTATTGTCACATGGAAGTACTGCTTGATTACGCTGTTGAAATTTCTGCCAGGAACCATGACCATTGAATAGCCCAAATGGACAGCAGTGTTTGCCAACTCAGACTTTTCAGTATCCTTACACAATTATTTTCTTCTCTCTTCAGCTGTAAGCACAAGGTGTACTTGGAAAAGCTACCAAATACTAGCATAATTATTCCATTTCATAACGAAGGCTGGACTTCACTCTTGCGAACAATACACAGTATTATCAACCGCACTCCAGACAGCCTGATAGCAGAAATAATTCTTGTGGATGACTTCAGTGACAGAGGTAAGGCCCAACTGTTTATTTTTTTTATCTTGAAATTTATAATGCAGTATGGACTATGTGGAAACTAAAGAAAAGTAAGGAGATAGTACCTGCTGGACAGCTTGCTTTGAAGTACTGCTTGGTTGTTACCTGCTATAAAGGTGCAGAAGCAGCTTGTTTTTTACTTTGCATTAATACTGAAATTCACATCAAAGGGAAGAGTCTGTAAGCTGTTCATTTGCCTTCATTAACATAGTGTTTTGAAAATATTATTTGTGAAATACTGCACATTTTGGTGTTTCAACTTCTTTTCCTTAGACTTTTACTCAGAAAATGTGTTAACTTTGAGCATTTTGGACACAACTCATTAGATTTTTAATCCTGGAATTTTATCACATTAGATAGCTCCAAATACTGGTAAAAAGTAGCCATACAGAAAAATGACATGTTTAAATGCAATGTGAAAAACTACTTTAGAATACTTAATCAAAGTTTACATCATCTATGTGTAGTAAAATTAAGAGAATTGCAACCATTTAATGACCTTTGACATCATTACTTCTCAAATGCAACAGTAAATGAAAGCTCTAAGTTTCTTTAATGAAATGTACCTTCTCATAGATAAAATTCATCCGTGTCATTTATATGGGACTGGGAAATAGTTCTTCTTTCAAATTTCAGTACCTCTTTTAGGACTTGAAGTATGAAGAGTGTTGACTTTTCTTGAGAGCATTTTTGGTTATTTCTGTTGAAACATCAGTTGCTAGTGTATGGGTGAGCCTTGTTCTAAGTAGATTAATAGACAGTGAAGGAGAGAATTGTGCTCTTCGCTAGTGTTTCAGATAAAACCTTTGTCTCAGCTAAGAAATTTACAGAAGCAGACTTCTGACCTGCTATTTTGACAAGCTCCAGGGTGAATGATTGGAATATTAGTAGAGTGCTGCAGTGGAATCATTTTTGTAAGATTTTTAACTTGATATTTCAGGGGTTAGATGCTGCACACATCTATCATCCCTCTCATATCTGCTGGTTTAGTTGCACTATGTCTTTTGATGAACTGCCTCTCTATCTGTAATGTGATTTAAGTGAAATTGTAAAGTGAGTACAGTTCTGGCTATTCTATGTTGATAAAATCTAGACCATGGGTGAAAGTTTCCAAAACAAGAAGTGTAAAGTAGCACAACAGTTTTTTCTGCAGGCTAATAATTTCCAAGTAGTAAACAACTTAGAGGAAGTCTGTAAGTTGGCTTTATGAGGTGTCTGACAAGTAAAAATGCTACTTGTGAGAGAGAGCAGCTCCTGAGGTTATGCTTGCTCAATGTTGTGATACTGTAGCATTTTTTAACAAAGATCATACTGACTATTGTTGATATACTTCTAAATGTCTTAATGTTTTAGAAAGCTAATCTACTTCCCAGTAATTAGAAGAAGAATTAGTGCCAGTAAATGGGATGTTGTAACTTCTGTTGCTCTTTCTTGCCTGCCCTAGCTTAGGTTCTGCTGTTGGCTCAAAGTAACTTGGGAGTAAATATTGTCTGTAATATTGATTACTTCTTAATTCCTGTAACGCTATTAAAATTCCTGAATCATCTTCATTCCCAGTTGCATAATCCTATCTAACTTTTCAATGGAACAGTTTTCAGCTGGAAGAAGTGGTTCACATAGCATGAAAATGCTTAACATAAGTGTCTGAAAATCTGAAATAAACCTATTAAAAATACTTGTATGGAGCTGTATAGAACTGTTGTACCATTAGAAAGATTTACTTACCTGTTTTTTGGTATTACTAAAATAAAGATTAGAAATGTGTTTTTGAACGGTGGCAAATGTTGAACCTGAGCATATTTGGTACTGTATGCTGAGTAGAGCAAACACACAAGAAAATTGTGCTGACATCTCTACTCTGAATTCAGTAACATGGAATTTCAAGGTAGGTGAATCATTTTGGTGCATCTGAAGTGGGTTTAATTCTTGTATTTGTGATCCTCTAAACTATATGAGGTTATATAATGTTTTCTCACGTCCTTCGTTCTTTTTTCATTAAGTGGCCACACATAATATGGTTGAGTTATTTTATGTTGAAAAAATCGTGACTGATATCTACCCCCCCCTCCCAGTTAATAAAATAATCTTTTTTAAAGTGATTATATACATACTTAGTTACCCTTTAGTTACCCTTTACCCTTTAGTTCCTTTTTCCTAGACTGATGAAAGCAGTAAAGCAGTGTGAGAGGCACTGAAGACAGATTAAGTAAAAAATTAACTGTGTGTTCAGTTGTCAAAACTGATAGAATTGTTGTGAGCCAAGTTTACTGCAGTGTTGAAGTGGTATAGTGATTGGTGATAAATCTGTAACCTTTTTTTCCCATTTTATAGTTTCTTCATGAAGCTTCAAATGTCAAAAAAATGCTGTAAAATGGTTCTTACTTTCTTTTGTGAGATCAGTTATATACTATTTAAGTGATACTATGTGTGCTCTACTTGTTCCACAAGTGTGTATTACGGAGCTTTCTACTAGGAACCTAAACATCTTTTGTAGATACTTGAGAATGGGATCTTTCAATAAAACTGTTATTTTAAAAGTATTTATTAAATGGCAAATGCTTTTCTCTAGGGTGTTCTATTAATCAAACTATTATTTTTTTCCAAAAGTCTAAGAACTTGTTACAAAAAGCCAGTTCCTGTTAGAGACAGAGTAGATGGCAAAAAGTAGGAACTTGACAGAGGTGTGAAAGAGGGATAAAAATGCTGGAGCTTTTAGTTTTCTTAATTCATGCAAATGTAAATACTGAAATGCACATAAAGTGTTCCAGGTACCAGCAGTTGGCTGGTTTATCTGCAAAATTGCTTGTGTGCCTTCATTTTAATCATATTCACTTCTTCAGCAGTTGTGATCAAAACAATAAACTTTAAATAGTTCATGTGTAATATTAATGATAAATTATGACATTTAGATGTTATAAAAGTGAAAAGACAGCAGCACCTTTTTAAATATCAACATGATGCAGAGTAGAGACTTGGTATTAAGAAGGGGGAGGTAAGCAGATGTTACGAAATTTGAAAGTGCAGGTTTTGGTCATGAACAAATTCAATATTAAAAAACTGCATCAATATAAAATATTTGTGGCAGTCAGAAGGTAATTATATGTTTTTTAGAGCGTTTATATATTTAAAATTATGAAGGAATGTGTGACAGAATTGATTGAATTAGTGGAATTGTTTCCATCTCGTGGTTCAACAAAAGGAACATTTATTTATATAATTTACAGTTACGTAATCTTAAATGGCGAAATGGTGGTGTACTGGCAAGATGAAAGGGAACTGAATCTAGAGTTCCTAGAAGCTGTTCTATGCTAGCTTAACTGTCTTTCTGGCATTGTGTTGTATTGCATAAAATATCTATCATATGCGAGCTGTTACGGTGCAATTTTCTGCTGCCTATGCAAGATGTTCCCAGCTTGGAAGCTTATGTGATAAGGAAAACTTCAGGAATCATCTGCTATTCATGGTAGGATACACCATAACAAGTGTTGAGAGCTAAAAAAGCCTTGACTTAGAACTTAACTGAACTAATTCAGTTGAAAAATTAAGGCTACTTCTCTTTTAGCTTTACAGTTGAAAACAATTTCATAGTGCTGCAGTATGTGCACATCACTGTTTACACCATCACACTAAGTCAAACTGACTTTAATATGAAGCAGTCCTCTGGAGAACAGTATTCATTTGGTACAGACTGGAGAGATCTGCTTCATTTTGGAACAGCCGAGAAAGAAAATGAAACTAAGGGATGAACCTTGAATTTGAAGCACGGTTACTCCAATAGAAGTCATGAGGAATTTCATTATCTTTTTCATCACTGAATTTTGTGTTTCACATTGGCAAGAACTTTGAGAGACAGCCTGTGTTATTCCTATTCCAACACTAAAATCTGAGTGTGGTGTTAAAACTTTCTGAAGCTAACTGCTGGCTATTGTTAATAAAAATAAATGTCAGGTAATAGGAAAAAAAAAAAAAAGTTAATGAAAATCTTTGGATGAGGCTTGGATCTTTGGATAAACAGTCATACAATAACAGTAGGTTAAGGAATAGGAATGGTGAGTGTCTGTGTGGACTTAAATTATTCATTACCTACCCTTCTCTCCCCACTGGCGTTGCACCCTTTCCTAGGTTTACTCAAAATACAGCTCTGCCAGAGAAGTTTGTAGTGAAAAGCATTCTTATATCAGTATGGATAAGAAGTCCTCCCCAGCTTCCCTGTAGGCCCCCTCCAGGTACTGGAGGCACTTTTGTCTTGCCGCAGAAGAGCACTCCCTGTTTATCGTTCTTTTCTCCTTGAAGTATCTGTCGTTGTAGTGTATCATTGACCGAAAGGAGGCTGCTGAGCACAGAAGGGATTACTGTGTCTTTTAGTGTCCTCGTTTTTGCTTCTTAACCTGGGAAGGATTAATGAGCTGTTAAGGTCATCAAGTAGCCTTTTTACCATCAATTACGGTATGATTCTTGCAGTAGACACAATGTCTAGGCAAGAGGACTTGCATGTGAATTGTTACCATCCGAAACTTATTCTAAATGTTGATGCTGACAGCCTATGTATCTGAAAGATGTAAGCTTGAGAGAGCTAACATTGCTAGCTTGAAAACTCTTGTCAAGTTAAGTGTGCTATCATTAACCATGATGTTGGCAGGTATTTGCAGTATTAGATGTAACTCACAGACTTGATGTGTAAGAAGGTGTGAACCCACATACCTATTAGGTTCATAGCTGTATCGTTATACCTGAAACACATAGCCTTACCAGCTGGGAAACCTACAGCTGCAGTCAAGTTATCATACAAGGGTAAATATATATGTTTTCTACTCTGTAAATAATTTCTGGTGGCATCCCTCCTGCTTAATTTACTAAAGATCTAACTAAACACAGGATTTACATTTTTATATTTGGAGTATCAAGCTATAAAATGCCTCTTTCATTTCCCCTATAATGGACTCACAGGTGTGATTTGAATTTTATTAAACATGGAC